AAAGTTCTTTTGTTTATTTCTGTTTAGAAAGGCAACTCATACATAGAAAATTTGGAAAACACAGAAAGGTGTTAAAAATGGAAAAAAATACCTGTATTCTTGCTCCTCAAAACAACTTCATAATACCCACAGAGGTGTGTTTTTAAACAAAACTGGTACCTTACTTTAGTAATAATAGCTGATATTTGCCAAGTGCTGATCATGCATATCTCATACAGTCTCCAAATTACTTTCTCTAAGGGACTTCCTTATTATCGCCTGCTTTACAGGTAAGGAAACTGAGGCACAGAAAGGTTCAGTAACTTCCCTAAGGTAACCTAGCCAGTAAGTGAAGAGCTGGGATTGAATCTAGGTGGTCCTATTGCACAACTTGCATTTTTTATTTTTTTTATTGTGGTCAAATACACATAACATAATATTTACTATTTTAACCATTTTAAAGTATATCATTCAGTGGCTTTTAATACATTCATAAAATTATGGAACCATCATCACTATCAAGTTCCAGAACATTTCCGTCTTCACAAAAGGAAATCCTGTGTCTATAAAGCAGTCATTCTCCATTCCCACCTCCCCACAACCCTAGGGAATCGTTTCTTCTGTTCTTCAAGGTCCTTCCAGCTGGACTAAGAATCAAATTGACATGACACAGATTAACAGGGGAAAATAGAATTTAGTTTCATATGCACAGGGAATGCACACAGACATGAGATTCTAAAGGCAGTCTGGCAGAATGAGGTATATATGTCATCCTGAACTAAGGAGAAGGGGACCGGGGTCTGGGACTTCAAAGGGAAGGAATGCAATTTATAGGAAGATAAACAAGAGTATATGTTTGATAAACAAATGTTTACTGGGGCACACAGAAACAATGGGACGTAGAAGACTTTTTCAAACAGGCCTTGCTAGGTCTCTCCCTATCTACCATTCCTAGTTCATACTGCAATATAGTTATCTATGGACCTGGAGCAGGTCCGCTATCTAAATTCTTTTAAAGCAGTTGAGGGGGAGGTGAAGAGATTTTCCTGAATCTGCAGGGTTTTGCTTGCTTTTTAACTCAAAATAATCTTTATGCTAAAGTGGCCCACTTGGGGTGTCCTGCCCTTGGCCCCGACATCTGCTTTCTGTCTGTGCGAATTTGCCTATTTTGGGTATTTCATAAAAATAGAATCATATATTGTGTAGCCTTTGGTGTCTAGCTTCTTTCACTTATTACAATGTTTTCACCGTTCATCAGTGTTGTAGCATGTATCAGTATTCCATTCCCTCTTTTTGGCTGAAGAATATTCCATTGTATGGATATGTCACATTTTGTTTATACCACATATTATACCACATCCATCCACTGATAGACATTTGGGTTGTTTCCACCTTCTGGCTATTGTGAACAGTGCTGCTATGAATGTGTACAAGTTTTTTTGAGCACATTTTTTCAATTCTCTTGGATATATACCTATGGGTCAAATTTCTGGGTCATGTGTAATTTTAACTTTTTGAGGACCCACCAAATTGTTTTCCACATTGGCCATACCATTTTACATTCCCACCAGCAACGTACAAGGGTTCCAGTTTCTCCACATTCTAACATTTATTTTCTGTTATTTAAAATTATAGCCATACTAGTAGATGTGGAGCAGCATCTCACTGTGGTTTTGATTTGCATTTCCCTGGTGACTAATGTTGTTGAGCATCTTTTCATGTGTTTGTTGGCCATTTGTATATTTCACTTGGAGAAATGTCTATTCAAGTCCATTGCCCAGTTTTTAATTGGAGTTTCTGTCTTTTGTGGTTGACTTGTAAGAATTCTTTCCATATGTTGGATATGAGACCCAAATCAGATGTATGATTTGCATATATTTTCTTACACCCTGTGGGGTGTCTTTTTTACTTTCTTTTTTTTCTTTTGAATGGTTGGTTTTTATTTTTTTATTTTTTAAGATTTTATTTATTTATTTGACAGAGAGACAGGGCGAGAGGGAACACAAGCAGGGGGAGTGGGAGAGGGAGAAACAGGCTGTCCTGCCGAGCAGGGAGCCCGATTTGGGTCTCGATGAGGGGCTCGATCCCAGGACCCTGGGATCATGACCTGAGCCGAAGGCAGACGCTTAATGACTGAGCCACCCAGGCGCCCCTCTTTTTTACTTTCTTGATTGTGTCCTTTGATACACAAAAGTTTCTAATTTTGGTGAAATCCAAGTCATCTATTTTTCCCTTTGTTGTTCATGATTTTAGTGTGATAATGTAAGAATCCATTGCCAAATCTAAGGTCATAAGGATTTACTCCATTTTTTCTTCTAAGAATTTTATCTCTTATGTCTAGGTCTTTGATTCATTTTGAGTTACATTTTGTAAAATGCTATGAGATCTGAATGTATTCTCCCTGACCTGCAAATTCATATGTTCAATCCTAACCCCAAAGGCAATAGTATTAGGAGATAGGGTCTTTTGGAGGCGATTAGGGATTAGTGTTCTTATAAAAGAGACTTCACGGAAGTCCCTAGTCTCTTCCACCACTGAGGGCACAGTATGAGGTGCTGGCCATGAACCAGGAGGACGGCCTTCCTTGGAACATGACTATGCTGGCACCTCGGTCTTGGACTCCAAGCCTCCAGAACTGTAAGAAACAAATTTCTGTTGTTTATAAGCTACCCAGTCTGTGATATTTTGTTATAGCAGCTTGAGTGGACAAATACAGGATCCAACTTCATTCTTTTGCACATGTATATCCAGTTTTCCCTGAATCATTGTTGAAGAGACTTTTCTTTTTCCATTGAATGATATTGGCACCCTTGTAGAAAATCCATTGATCATAGATATATGGATTCATTTCTGGACTCTCCATAATATTCCATTTATCTGTGTGTTTATGTAAGTGCCACACTTTTAATTACTATAGCTTTTTAGTAAATTTGAAATCAAGAAGACTCAGTTCTCCAGATTTGTTATTTTTAAAGATTGCTTTGACTATTTGGGGCTCCTTACAATTCTACATGAATTTTAGGATCAGTTTTTCCAATTTGGCAAAAAAGCCACTGGAATTTTCATAGGAATTGCATTGAGTTTGTAGATAGCTTTAGGGAGCATTGATATCTTAACTATATTGTCTTCCAATTCATGGATGCAGGATGTCTTTCCATTTATTTAGTTCTTTAATTTATTTCACCAATGTTTTGTAGCTTTCAATGTAGAAACCTCCTTGGTTAAATTTATTCCTAAGTATTTTATTCTTTTTGATGCTATTGTAAATGGAATTGTTTTGTTAAGTTTCTTTTGGATTGTTCATTGCTAGTGTACAAAAAGACTACTGATTTGTCTTGATATTGCATCCTGCAACCCTGCTGAGTTAACTTACTGGCTCTAGTCATTTTTTTAAAAAGTCTTTAGGATTTCCATATGTAAAATCATATTGTCTATAAGCAGAGATAGTTTCACTTCTTCCTTTACAATTTAGATGCCTTTTATTCTTTTTCTTGCCTAATTGCTCTGGCTAGAATTTCCAGTACTATGTTGAAGAGAAGTGGCAAAAGTGGGTGTCCTTGTCCTGTACCTGATCATAGCTGGGAAGCTTTCCGTTTTTCAGCATTGAGTATGACGTTCGCTGTGTGTTTTTAATAAATATTCTTTATCATTTTGAAGAAGTTCCCTTCCATTTCTAGTTTTCTGAGTGTTTCATTGTGAAAAGCGTGCTGGATTTTGTCAAAAGATTTTTTTCTGCATCAACTGCAATGATAATGGTTTTTTCCTACTGCTTGCATTCTTAGCCAGTAGGGCCAATTCTTTTCTCTCTGCATATAAGTTGTTTAACTTTATAGCCTGCTTTTTCTACTTATACCATGAAAATCTCATTCTCATTAAAAGCCATTAAAATTATGATTTCCAGTGGCTATATGTTATATCCTCATGTATGGATGTTCTACAATTTATTTAATACTTCTATATTGTTTCAGTAAAAGTAGTTGATGTGTTCTGTGTTTGCTACTCTACAACTCCAGAACCTCTAAATTTGCATTCTCTTCATCTCTGAAGTTCTCTAAATCTTTACTGCTACTAAGCAGTATCCTACCTTCCTGTTTCATATTTATTTTTCTTCTTGTTCCTTGATTTATGCTTTTCATACACACACTAATCTTTGTTTCTTATTTATTTCCTGTTCTGAATTAATGACTAAGCCGGTAGAGTCAAATCCAAGAAATATAAAAACCTACCAGTAAAAATATTAATAAAGCACAAGTAAAATTATTACTATGTATATTTTATTTAGCTTGGGAAAGAAAAAAATCTGCAATTTGGTCGGTTTAGCTTTTTGGTCTTTTTGTCAATTTCCAATTTGCGTGTTTTTGCAGGTATTTTTTTAGGATTATCTGGAAATACAGCCACACTGGAAGATAACTGAACTCACACATAAAACGAATGTAGAAACATTTAGTTTTAGAGAATAAGCATTTCTGTGTCTTATTTTCGCATTTTATTGAATTGTTTTTATTTATTTATTTAAAATTTTTCTTTTGTGTGTGTGTCAAGGGCTGATTTTTAAGAGATTGCAACGAGGGAGCTGCTTTGCTACCTATGAAACCCCGACGCAGTATTAAATTGTTTATTAAATCATTTGTGTTTAAAGTAAAATTTTGCTCATAGACATACCCCCCCATGTAAATACATGCCTCTATATACACTTTTTGGCATTGTAAGATAAATTTGATTAAAAACATGATAAAAATCTAAAAACAAGGAAACTGGAAAAAAAAAACAAACCCACATCAGATCAGAGTAAATACAAATCAGACAGTCATTAGGAGACTTCACCAAGTTGCTACTGGTTTAGTTTCCTGTGTAGTTTCAGGGAAGCAAACTACAATTCCCAGAGTGCTTAGAGGGCGTGCGGGACCTTGAAACTTGCTGCCTCGGTCCCGCCTCCTTACTTCAGCGATTGGACTGTCCAGTTTCACGTCTCTGAATTTCTCTTCTTCCATTGGCTACTTCCCAGAGAGGTCAATTACAGAGTTTACGTTCGCTTTGGCCCTTCTTGCCCAGCGGTTCTCCCCCCTCCGCCCGGTACCAAGATGGCGGCAGAAGCAGCTGGTGGGAAATACAGAAGCACAGTCAGCAAAAGCAAAGACCCCTCGGGGCTGCTCATCTCTGTGATCAGGTGAGGGAGGCAGGAGGCAGGGTCAGGGGACAGGGGGCAGCGGGCAGCGGCTCGACCTCCGCTTTGGAAGGGAGAAGGGTTAGCTGGGTTCCACCCTGCCGACCCCTCCCCCTTCCTCCTTGCCTCCCCCCCCAGCCCCTCCGAAGGGCCCCCGCAGTTCCCCCTTTTCCTCTGGGGTTGGGCTAGAGGGAGGAGCCCCGCCTCGCTATCTTTTCTTTGGGACCTGAGCTTTCCATTAGGTCCCTGGGCCCTAGAAGCACGCTGTTTGGGGCGTGGTAGAGAAAGCCAGGTGTGTTCATTTATTCGTACAGCGTTTATTTATGGATTGCCTTCCGCCGCGCTCACTTGGGGAAGGCGCCTTGTTTCCTGAATTTCTGGGTGTAAGGCCCTGAAGTCCGGGGACTACTGTCACGAGTTGCAGATTGTGTTCTCACACTTCGCACACCTCCAACCACCTGTGAATGGCCACAGCCTCCATCCAATACAAGAGCCTGTAGTGAGCTTGTAGAAGGGCTGTGGGTTGGAAGGCGTACAGTCGTTCTCGATTTTTGTTCTGCCTTCCTATCCCGGTCTGTTCCTTCAAAACAAAACAAATTTCGAGTTATCTTCTATGCATGTTATTTCCCCGGAATATATATGGTGGGAGTGGGAGTGGTGGACCTTTTAGGGGCTCCTTTTTTTTAAAAATGTGAAATAAAGGTGAGGGAATCCTTTCAGACATCTTTAAAGATGATACAGAAAGTGATTACAACAACCTGAATAAAATGTATTATAACACGTTTTTACGTTGTTGACATTTGAATTTCAACTCAGGTATTTTTCATAAAGTAAAACCCCGTCCTCCTGACCCCCCCCCCCATGCTAAACTTGCAGTTGAGTTCTAGGAGGGCTCCTGCAATATCTTGATGATTTGTTTAAAACCCAGCCTCAACAGTAGCTGGTAGGTAGTAGGGGCTTGAAGGTATGAATAGATGGAATTTTAAAGCAATCTACCACTCATGGACTGATAAAGACCCATCTCATGGGTGTTATTTAGGGGCCTCCAGTTTAAAGTCATGAAATCATTATTACTAAGTGGGGTTTTTTTTTTTTTTTTTTTCCTAAAGATCTAAGATGATAATTCTCTGTGTGGAAATGCTTAATAAACTTGGTAGGCCGTGCAAAGGGAACGCTGGTCTAGTGTGGACCCACATTCTTGTCACAATACAAGCAGCATAGATGATACTAAAATTCCAACTAGAATATTGGTAGCGTCCCATCTTAATCCTTTGTGGAGTTATAATACATGAATTTATTTGGATTCTTCTTTGAACTTGTTTATTTTTTCTCTTATAGTCAACATTCACTTAAACTATGTATTTAGTGCCAGTTTGTAGTATGGTGCCTGGGACTTAATACATACTTAATAAGTATTTGTTGAACAAATGAGTGGATGCCCTGAGTTTTGCAAAGACGAATCAGATGTGATGTTACCCCTGAGAGTATAGTTCACTTGAGAGATAAAATATGGAAGTAAAAACTATGACATAAGTCTAAAAACAGAGATGAGTGAAATATGGGAATCCAGAAGGAGTGGTTAAGTGGAGTGGGGGTTAGGGAAGGTATAACACATGTATATAAATGTACCATTTCAGCTGGGCACTTAATGATTCTGTAGGCTTTACCCATTTCTTTTCTGCTGTGTATCAGTTTTCCTAAATGGCTATTACATTCATTCTAAATGCCCTACATTTGAAAAAAGCATAAAAACCAAACTAAAGGGTTTTTGTTTGTTTGTTTTTGTTTTTTTGTTTTTAACTGATGCTGATTCAGAAATACATTGCCTTTGGTTGACTGTTCCTTTGTTCTTCAGGGGAACTCTCCCACTGGATGGTGTGGAATATGATTTTGTGGTCATTCACCCATCTCTTATGCCCATCTATATTACCTTCACGTATCACCATGATTTAGGCCTACACAATTTTTATGCTGAATTTTGTTGTGTATTATTGTTTTCCATTTTTCTTCCTTATTCTTGACCACCTCAGACCACTTGAATAATATTTTCATTACATCTGTTAACTAGCATGGTATAATGGAGTGTCCAGATGTGGCATCCTGGGCATGTTTAGTAAGGATAAGAGTTCATGGTTCCATATGACCTTATTTAAGACTGGATGATGTTGCTTCTCGAGTGTTAATGTTTATTTTTCGATATTTGTTTGAGTCACAGGAAAATTGTTGGGTTGGCGTGAGAGTGTTGCCAGCTCTCTCCCCTTGTTGTTTCCTCTCTGATGTGCTTTTGAACATATGCAATGGTTTAAATTTCATGAACAGTGGCAGTTAATGAGAGGAGGATGGTGGTATTACTTTGGTGTTTGGGTGGGGAGAAGCAGGGGAGAGTACTTCAGAGAATAGAATGGGGAATGTAGTTGCTAAGAGTAGATCTTAAAGGTTCTCATTACAAGAAAAAGAAATTGTAACTAGGTGAGATGGATGCTTGTTAACTAACCTTATTGTAATCATTTTGCAATATACACAATATATTAAACCATGTTGTACACCTTAAAGGACTATGGTGTTATATGTCCATTACACCCACTAAAACTGAGAGAAAAAAAGAATGGGGAATGTGTATTTCTTGTGAGTAAATTGTTCTGTCACTCTGAAGTTGCCTCTTTGTCTCTCTGTTCAGTTTGTATTCTTTGTGTTACCCCTTCTTGCAACATTGTATTCCTGATTCTTAATTCCTCATGTAAAACTTGGATTAACTCCTCTTCTCCTTAACCTCTTTTCAGATTCTCTCTCACAGACCAAAGCTTTCCTGAACCCATTTTAGGCTCATGTTTATAAATTCTGAGCTTCCTTGAAGATATATCTGATACATGCCAGTTCTCTTTTCTGTTTCCTTGGACCTGTCATTTAAGTGACTTGTCAGTGATAATCTTTTGAAAAGTTTGATTAGTTTAGCTTTATTTATCTTCTTATATCACTGAGCTGTTGCTTTCTTTTTTGAATAGTGAATATTAAAAATACTCCTTTGGTTCTTTTGCTCAGATACGTTAAAAAAGTCATTTTGGGGTGCCTGGGTGGCTCAGTTGGTTAAGGTCCGACTCTTGGTTTCGGCTCAGGTTGTGATCTCGTTGTGAGTCTAAGCTCAGTGGGGAATCTGCTTGAGATTCTCTCTCCTCCCGCTGGTGTGCACATGCATGCATGCGTGCTCTCTCCCTCTCTCTCTCAAATAAATAAATAAATAAATCTTTTTAAAAAAGTCATTTCTATACCTTATTATGTGCTAGCATAACACATCATATATATTTAAAGCTATTTCTGTAACTTGAAACAGCATTTATTGTTAGTCATCTTTTAACACCGAGTGAGAAAACAACAGGTGGATAAGGATTCAACCTAAGGACAGAGTCTGTATAACCGTGGGGACTAGCCATATCTCGTCACTCTTTCCAGCTGTGGTACCAAATAGTTAAATAACGACTATTTTGCTAGTGTGATTGTCCATCACTCTCAAGAATTTAAAAATCAAAACAGTTTCAAGAAATGTTGTTGTATAGTAGTGAAAATGTTACATTTGGTTGATGGGTGTTTAAGTACCTGGAGACTCATAAATGAAATTCTTAGCCATTTAAAAAGTATTGAATAAAAATATTTCCGGACAATCAGATGTTTCAAAGGGTGGACTCCTGGGGTATTGCGGAAGAGGTCCTCACGCTGGGAAGTGGGGTTTTGATGAGGAGATGGACAGTGCTTGCGACCAAGTCTGTCGGAGGCCACTGCTAACTGCTTTTGGTTTGAAGTCTCGCCACTGGCCCTTTAAAAGAACTAATTGGGTGGACAGAGTTTCGATCACCTGCTGATGTAAATTTGGACAGTTTTACACATGTGCGTGCACACACACAGCATTTTCCTACTTTTCTATTGATTTTTCCCCTCCCTAACCTTTTGTCTGGTGTGAAATCGGAGCAGGCAGCCTTTCTAAATGAGGAATAAGCAAGATGGCATTTTGGAGATGCTGTTTTATTTTTGTGAGTTCTTGTCAGATTTTTAATTGGGAAATGTGTCTACCACTTACTGTTAGGTGATTTGCTTTCCAATTAAATGTTGACTCTCTTCTCTTTATAAGTTGGCCTTTAATAGACCATTTAATTGGGAAGACAAACTTTGGCTGTGACTTTAGGCGACCTTATTGAAACCTCAGAGTAGAGCTTTTGTAGACAGACTCTGGCTACAGATGTCACGGAGGTTTGAAGGCGGTTGAAGGCTCACGTTTTCATCAACTTTCATGTCTTCACAGAAGTTGGAATTTCAAAAACTTAGAAAATCCTTTATTGTAGACACCTGTTAAATTCCCTTCTTCCTCAGAGAGTGTTTTGGTCAGCCCCATATTTAATTCAAAGCAGGCTTTGTTGAAGCGTTCCAGGCTTTGATCAGGGCTTTGAACAAAGAGCTTTGAGGTCCATGACACAGTTTGTGGCAGAAAGGAACATGGTCACTCTGTTTGGAGGAGAGTCCCGGAAGTTGTGTTAGGCGGTTAGTGTTGTTTCCAGTAACACCTCTTCTCTTCATCTGAGCCTGTCTCATTATGGTTTTTCGGGTTTCCAGTTCTCTCTTTGTACCCTGAGGCATCTTGGCACTGGGAATGCAGTACTGTTTGAAAATGACTGCCAGGCTGTCTGGAGACTAAACACTTTTTCTTCTCGAAGTCCTAGGACATCTGACAACCTATGTGGATAGAAGGGGCAAAATAATTCCCCCTTTCTTCCTGCTAAACATGAAGAATTAGTATCATGGGAATCCATGTTTTAGTTTCTAACCCCATGTGTAATTTTTAACATTGGGATTTCCTGAAGGCTTTGAGGCAGAGAGGTGTGTTGTTGGGTGATAGGTCAGGTTTTTTTCAAGCCACTACTTACAGTGGATAGGTATGGTCACAGTGTTTGGTGGGAGTTGAGGTATAGTTAGTAGAAGCTTACTGGATTGTGTTACTCAGTTGTTTCAGACCACTG